TCCCTACACTGCTTACCTTTTGAGTGGCATGTCTACCTCTGGGGCAGTCAGCAGAGATGGTGGCCTTGGCTAGGGATAAGCCTTGCTCAGGTAGGGATAAGCAGTTACAGCACCTCTGGGAGTGTCTGGGTTGGGGCTGGAGCCGAAGGTAAGCAGTGGGGGGAGGAGGGCAGACTGTGTGGCCTCCCCAGCACTACCCTCTCCCCCACACCCCCACTGCCACTCATCTCCTCCCCTACCACATGAGCCACCCTGGTTCAGAGCTGGCAGTGGCATGGCTCTAGCGTTGATCCTGAGCCACGACCCAAAGCCAGAGCTGAACCACCACCTACCCCTTGAATTGCCTCAAAAGAGGAGCCTTCCCCCCCCCCCCCCCCCCCCCCCCCCCCCCCCCATGGTGATTGGGGGTGTGGGGACCTCATCTTGTATTTGAGTACATATGGCACATTGAAGGATAAGACTTCTAAACTTCTTCCAGGGAGTGATGTGCTTCCTGCCATTATCTTCAGTGCACTGCTTTTCCCACTGTTTTCCTGAATGCTGCATTTTCCCTAGTCCTGTGTCTGAGGGACAAAAATAAGTCTTTGGTCCGCTGTCATTGACTTAAACTTAATGCAGCCAAATGAACATATTAAAGAGATGTAGCAAAATATTGCTATTTTTTTAAGTATTTGTAGTCTAGTAGTTAAATGTTACTGTGTGAATAAAAAAAAATTCTGATACAAATATGGCTTAAAATTACTAAGTGGTGTGGGTGTATACATGTAGAGTAATAGCTGGGGAAATTGCATCCAGTAATTGAGTGGTTCAAATTTTTTACGTGTAGGCTCAATTGGCAGAACAAGAAAGAGAAATAAAGGAGCTGGCATCGCATTTGGAAGTCCTCGCTAGTGAGAAGGTACTGTGGGAATCATGTGTTACATCCAGTGGATTAGTGGTTATATTAATTTGCTTTAAAAAGACGAGTTTGTTTATGTGGGGATTCCATGAAATGTGTAAAAGTAATTTTTAAAATTCACCAAAAATAAGTGGACTTTTTTTTTTGCAATATATGGAGAATTCTAGTTTGATATCTCAAAAGAATAGTGAGGCATTCAGGTATAGTTTCATAATTAATTATATCCATAAATATTTGTTTAAACTGTTCCTGGTTTTGTCCTATTTTGTTATATTTAGGTAAAGATAGACGCATTCTGTCACATCCTTATGGCTTTCCCCAATTACTACAAATAGCCAAGTAGAAAACAGACTTACAGATGTAACAAAGATTACTTAATTGCAGCTAAAACAGTAGACAGTTCCTCATCCATGAGGGAATTAAGATGCACAAAACTGTAACAGATTTTCAAATAAGTGCTTGAAAATTAATTGATATTTGAGAGAGTTAGATTTCTAATCGAATTCAGAACTTGTCTGATTAAAGAGAGCTCTGCCAAAATATTAAAGATTATGTTCTGTTGCATTTTCTTGGCTGCTACCTGAAAGCTTTTCGTGTATGTATTTTTTTTCATGCATTACAGTGTTTTATTCATGGAGATTGCACGGCTTTGTGAAAAGCGAGTGTAAACATCTTTTTAAAAAAAAAAAGGAATAGTGTGTTGTATGAACAGTCCTGAAGAGAGCATGTATTCAACCTAGCCACATCCACAGTAGTTTCAGTATATACTAAAGTAGTTGGCAAATAAAAATAAATTATTGACTGATTTTAAAAAAAAAAAAAAAAAAAAAAAAGGTCAGCCTAAGTGCTTTTGAGGTTTGTAGGCTCTGAAATATCAGAGTTTAACTATTATGTATTGCATTTTCCATAACAAAGGAATAACAGAACGCTTGGATGGAATTCTTTTTTAAATGCATCTGTACCGTATTTTTCTGATTCATAGGAAAGCTTAAGTAAAAGTCAGGATTTTGTAAAACTGTTTAGCTGGAGGGTATCATTTAAACAGCATACATAAGGAGAAGTGCAACTGTAATAATATTGTATGAAGCTTATAAAAGCTTGTAATGTAAATATCTATAAATTTGCTAGACACGATTCTATGGAAGTATCAAAGTGTTCTGCTAGACTGGAACCATGATTTAAAAGGTTAAGTACAGTACAGTAAACAACTTTTCAATTTATACTCCATTATCAGTGTTTGTTTATAAATGTCACTAAACATAGCATGCTAAAAATGTTCATTTGCAATCTCTTCAAACCTATAAAATTACTTAGTTTCTATTTTATTTACATACTTATATAGCCTTTGATTTTTTTTCCTTTTTTTTTTTTAAAATTGCTCCCTATCCTAACTGTCCAGTTTATGGCAAAGACTGTTTTATAGCACCTTTAAAAAGACTTTGATCTGCATTCCATTTTTAATCTTGGGTGACGCTGGAATTAAAGTAGTATATACTGCCATATTTTCAGTACAGAAAAATTCATATTGCAGAAGAAATCTGTAAGAATATGGGACACTGGTTCTCAGGCTTTTAGCCACTGAACTGTTTGCATACTGAGCTACTAATAAAAGCTACCAGGAACAATGATTAAGGGTTTACAAACACACGCAGTACACATTTCAAAACAGAAACTTTGCAGTTTCATTAAATTTTTGGAGTACTTCATTATTCCAGTAATCCTTGCATTTTGTTATATGCAATTTAACTCAAAGTTAGTGGGCCCTGTATTACCTTCCATTGCAAAGTCAATTTTTCCCTTGAAAAGTAGTCATTTAGCAGTCCCTCGATTTTGAGGATGATCTCTACCACTGCTTGTTGGTAGATCTTGAAGAGACTTAAGAGTCCAGTCCTTCAGCCACAGATCCTTCTGCAGAAGTTACAAGTCTTTTCTTCAGGGTAGAATAGGTGGTAGGCTGGGATTTCTCTCCTTTTCCCTCCTTCAGTGCACTCTCTTCTCTGTTTTGAGGGCAAGTTGTGGGCAAAGACTGCAGGTCCCTGAAGTGGGCTGCCACTTGGTTGAGTTTGCATTACCTTTGGAGTTAGTTAGCAGCCAGATGTTCATGCTCTTATGGCATTCCACCATAAGAAGCTAGGCTTCAGGCCATAGATTCAAAGGAGCTGCCCGTAAGAAGCTGCCTAGAAAAGAAGTTGATTTATATATTTATTTAGTATTTTAATGCCTTTAGTGAATATTAAGCAAGAACTCCAAAGAAAATTTTAACACTATCTTTATGCTTTTAAAGACTATACTCTTTTTAAAATCACTTTATGAATTACTCTTTAAAATTTGCCATCCAGTTTGTTGTATATAGCCTATGTCTGATGAATCTTGATGTATACACCATCTTCTACCTGACCCACTAGTGGAACACAATGCAAATGTAACTCAGTTTCTTCTCATATACTTCATTTCCCTCTCTATACATCATTAGTATGGCGGAGCCACACAGCTGCTTTATTGTTGGCACTTGCCAAATCCTCATCCTGGGTGCACAGATTTGCTGCATATGTGAGGAGGTGGTCAGCAGTCTGTGGGTGCATCACCACACTCGCATATTGGACTGTCCTTTAAACTGATCTTATAGTGTGGCATTAAAGCATCCAGCTCCAGAGTAAATCCTGTTTAGTTGAGTCCATAAGTTGCAGGGGAGCTCATACCCGGGTAGATAGGGTTACTTATGAAGCATTTGAAATGAAAATCAGTCTCATCTCACTTCTTGTAGTGGTGTTTAAGTGCTCATAGACTGCTGCTCCCACTTCTGCACTGTTGCAATGGTACCTGCATCTCCTGTCTGAATGAGGTCCTTGACTTCAGTCGTGTATGTACTGGTTACTCCAAGACTTCATGAAGCAGGTACTCCTGGCTTTGTTGGGCACACTGACAAGACCTAGAGTTGCCTTCTGTCGTCTTAGTTGGGGGGAGAGTGTCCCTGATGGTACTGGTAGCATGTCGACAGAAGTATGCTACATAATCCATTACTGTTCTCATTGCTGAGTTGTGCATATACTTGTGCAAATTGTAATAACTGCTATATTGGGTTAGATCAAAGATCTATCTAGCCCACTGTACTATCTCTACAGAGGAAAAGTATTAGAAATAGGACATATGTAGAACAGTCCATTTCCTGTCATGACCTCCTAGCTGCCAGCAGTCAGGGGCTTTGGTATGTCCTGAGCTTGAAGCTATACCCTTAACTGTTGTGTTTAACAACTGCTAATGGACTTGTGCATCAAGTAATTTTTATATATGCCACTGCCCTCAAGATAAGTGTATAAAACACATTTTTTAAATACATTTTTAAAGCATTAAGGATAGCAACCTGGCACAAGTGAACATCCTGATAAATAACAAATCAGTAGGGCTGTAGGAAGCTTCGGTCGCTGATTCGGCAGAGGTTCAACCCGATTGGGTGGCTGAATCTCCAAATCCAAATTGAATCAGGAGACCCTTTAATCTCTCTGAATCAAATTGGAGAGATTTGGAAAGATTCCATGATTTGGACATAGACAGCTTTAAAATGTTTTTTCTACACACCTCAAGGTACTAGGCTGCTTGTAAATGCTGAGATGGTGGGGCAGATAGTGTCCCACAGGAGCACATGCACTCAGCAGCAGACCTGGAAGTGGACTAGAAGCACTTCTGAGGCCGCCAGGGAGCATGTGGGGGACCCCCCCCCGACTCAGCGACTGGTGCCTCCTGGGTCTGGCTGGGGCACCCAGGGTTCTCCCCGTGGCCAATCGCTGGGGTGGGGGGAGGTGAGGCCCCCTCAGTGCTCTTGGCGGCAGACCCGGAAGTGGACCAGAAGTACCTCTGGTCCACTTCTGCGTTGGCTGCCACGAGTACGCAGGGGGGCCCCCCATGCTCCTTTGGAACACTCCATGCACCCTACCATTGCAGCATTCATGAGCCAGGCCTGGTGCCTCAAGGTATGAGTAAAAAAAAAAAAAAAAAAAAAAAGAAAACATTTAAAGCTGTGTCTATGGCCTAATTGCCGATTCTCTAAATCGGTATCGAATCTTCAGATTCGGCCGAATCAAATCGGGACAGTGATCTGAATCAACGAATTGAATCACTATTTTCAGTTCGGGCTGAATCTGAATTGAATATGGTCCATTTTGCACACCCCTACAAACCAGTATATATATATTTTTTCCCCCCATTCAAGATGAGAAATTTTGGAAGGAAATGTTTTAATTTCAGGTTTTATAAGGTGGTTATAAAGAAAATTGGACTAATTTTTAAAATTATGGAAAAGCTCAGCGTTTAAACTCTATCAGTGCACTGATTTACAGTAGTGAAAGAATAATGATTTTACCATTGTATTCACAAAGCTTTCCTGGACTGCAGGGGTCAAAATTTCTTTCCTGTCTATTTATGGAAGGGTGGGGAGGAGGGTGACTAGGATTATCATCTTCACCCAAAGGTGCATCTCAAGCCGGTCCAGAGAGGTGATACTCCCCCTCTATGTGACTTTTTGGTCAGGCCGCAGTTGGAGTACTGCATCCAGTACTGGGTGCCGCACTTCAAAAGGGATGTGGCCAGCCTGGAGAGGGTTCAGAGGAGGGCCACCCGCTTGGTGAGAGGGCAGCAGGACAGGCCCTACGAGGAGAGACTGAAGGACCTGAACCTGTTCAGCCTCAGCAAGAGGAGGCTGTGGGGGGACCTGGTGGCTGTCTACAAGCTCATCAGGGGGGATCAACAGCAAATAGGCAGAGCTCTTTTCTCCTCAGCACCACCTGGGGTGACGAGGAACAATGGTCATAAGCTGATGGAGAATAGGTTTAGGTTGGAGATCAGAAGGCAATATTTTACAGTTAGGGTGGCCAAAATCTGGAACCAACTTCCCAGGGAAGTGGTCCTCGCCCCTACCTTGGGCATATTCAAGAGGAGGTTGGACGATCTCCTGTCTGGGGTCTTGTGAACCCAGCATTCATTCCTGCCTGTGGCAGGGCGTCAGGCTAGATGATGTTTAGGTCCCTCCTGACCCTAGCTACTATGAAACTCATCCCTCTTTTTAGGTCTATGCAACCAGGCCACGTCTGAGTCTTGCATATTCTTTCTGTGTGTTTTCTCTAAAATGTATCTTTTCTTGTCTGTTCATGCAAGTAAAATGCTTGTGTAATTACTCATTTTTTATCTTGTTAACTTCAGTCTCCTTTTTCTGGCCATAGTACATGCAATCTTACCTCACTTCTGTCTTCCCAAAATGTTGCTGAAAAGATCAGCTGCCTAACCTGTCGCTTTGATCATGTTGCTCTTTTCTTTTTGCATTCCTCTGCTGACTCTCACTACTCTACTCTACTTTACTTTATCTAACATAAGTGACTTGTCTTGATCTTTTTTTTTTATTTTTTTTTTCCCCCCAGCCTTTCCCCATTGTACATAATATCTCATTCACAGTTGATGCCAGCTTCTCCCTCAGCTCAGCCTGTGATCTAGACTTTTAAATGCTTGCTTTTTACATATCCAAAAGAGCATTTTATGCTTTCTTCCATGTCCCGTACAGTTTGGATGATCTTCCTGTAATCATCTGCAAACTAACTTATTCTCTTTTTCTCATATTATCTACTAAAAGTTTAACAGTGGTTAGGTTGTTTGTATGTTTACTATGCTGATCAATAATATGTCATTGTTTGTAATGATGTCTTGCTATCTGTCTGGTGGTTGTTTTTTTTTTGGGTTTTTTTAGATTTAACAGGACCTAGCACATGAGGATCTTGGCTTTTAGGTGCTACATTACAAACATTAATACTAATAACAGCTGGAAGTGTCAACATTATTAGATCATTAGTCATTGGGATAACAACTGAGGAACAATTTTGTGGTGTTAATCTGATTTATTTGGAGTATAATATTTCAGTAAATAATTCTCAAAAGAACTTTGCCTTTAAAGAGGATGAGACTAAAGAAAAGAAAATCTCTGTTTAATTATGGGCTACCTATTTGGGTAGGGCATTTTTACCTGCTTTTTAAAACAGATTAGTTATTCTTTCTCTTCCTCTTTTAAATAGCTTCATCTGGCACACCTGTAAGTGATTACTGTAGTATATTATTTCATTTATAAATATGGAAGTGTATATTCAGTAGGATTAGCTTTGTTGCAAAGGCAAAATGCAACTCTTACTCTTTGGCCTCCGGTAGACATTCAGTTAAAGGCATGGTGGGATCTGAACTGCAGTCCCAAAAATCATGCCTCCTACATGGCATATGTAGTTGTAGGATGTGGGATTAGATCCCATGGTGTCCCCATGCCCTTGGCTCAGATGCACTCCTACAGCTAGGAGCATGGGTCAGGGTCATCTGATTGGGACTTCCAGCTGTGAGAGTGCTTGGAACCCTTGGCTCTGTGCTCCTGCAGCTGGAAGCCCAGCCAGCTTATTGGACTTTTAGCAGGAAGCACATCTGAGCCCTTGGGGCTGGCCACACGTTCATCAGGAACCAGCCAGAAAGTTGGCACGATGGGTACCAGCCACAAAGTTATTACACATTTTTTGTGTAATAACTTTGTGGCATATTCCCTGTTTTATCTTGTCATTAATTGAATGAATGGGTGGTCAGGTTACTACTTAAGATGCGATTTCCTGGTCAATCATGTCTTAAGTATAACGTCTTCCAGGGACCATTTTGTTTGAACTGTTTTCTTTCCTCTTTTGCATGGAATGAGTTGAGTAAAGGCTCATGCACCTTAAATTATTCCATCTCTTAATGGAAGTGAGAGCTTTTCATCCCAGTGGGATTAAACCTCAGCTGGGTGAAATCAGGGTAGGTCCATTCAAGTCAACCAAGGTATTCATGCACAGGCAAAGAATACAGCTCATTATATATTTTGTAAAACTTTTTGCTTACTTGTGTTGCATGCAGAATGTATTACATCAAGCCTAAAAATGATTTCTGCATTTTCTTTGAAGGTGTGTTCCTCTGTGAGACAAATAAGAGATGAATAGGAATTTTTTTGATAAACAGGAGTTTTTCCCAGTTATGTCAGCCTAGTCAAGTGATGTAAAGAGGATCAGAACATAGATAGTACTTGAAATATTTTTAGAGAGAGATTATGTTTCTAATACAGCTTAATATTTATTTCTAATAGATTTAGAACATTTGATATGGCTCTATAGATTGATTGCATAATTAAATTTATTATTTTAGGAACTTGGAAGGAGACCAGATAATCAGGCTGGAAGGATCACAGAAGGACAGATTTCTCAGCAGATGTTGCATTTTCGCAACCCATATTCAGAGGAGAGTGGATCTCTTCCTGCAGTCCCAAGTAGACTACCAGTACTGCAGTATGGAAATCCCTATGTAACCCAGGAAACAAGAGGTCAGAACAAATGTATTTTCCTCCCCTTTTTGTTTACAGTTTCAAAAGAAATATGCCAATTTCTTAAATTAGAGAGAAGATTAGACAGTTGTTAACCTATACAATGTTTATAAGATACAGTTGGATTAACAAATAGGCTGTAATAGGCTCAAATCACTTTGAGGTAGACTTTCAAAAATGGTGTGTGGAAAATTGTACATTCATATCAGTGTTTGTTCTAGTTGTAGATTCTGGTTCTTATGTTTTATTTTTTGGTCATGATCTCCTGTTTTCACTAAATCAAAACTAAAAATATTTTAAAGTTTTGATTTAAATTGAATAGCTGTTCTAAGTATATTGAACAGAATGCTTATAAATACATTCAGAGTTTTGTTCTTCTGGTTTCTATTTCAGTTGGAGCAGATGGTGCTTTTTACCCTGATGAAATCCAAAGGCCACCTGTAAGAACATCTTCCTCTTGGGAACTGGAAAATAACGTAGTCTGTAGTCAGCCTTCTCGCAACCTTAGTCGTCCTGATGGTTTGGAAGACCCTGAGGATAGCAATGTACGTTATCTTTTGCATTCTTTTATTTACCACTAGCTACCCTTACTAGTGAATAACCAAGAACAGAAAAGCTTAGATATAACCGTCTGCTAAAAATTCGAAAGCACTTAAGTATTTCTAAAATATGAAACTTTTTGTAATTGAAAAAATGAGTGCTCATTAGGGAAGAGAAAAAAAGTACAGCAAGTGATAAAATATACTTCCCAATTCAGAGCAACCTCTTGAATGTTATTACTTAATGTTATATGGCATCAGTTTGTTAATGCTTTTACTATATAAAGAGAGACTAATTGATGTTTCAGCCTATAGCTACACTTGTGTGGGTAAACATTGCACAAAGTTGTCTGCATATGCAGCGTTTTAAAAAAAAAGTTTCACTAGTATGTGAAAAATTCATTTAAATTGAAGACAAAAGCTTGATGGATTTTGATACAAGTCGTTTTTAATAAAATTTTAAAGTTAAGTGTAACATACATTTATGGAGGCAGCTTTCCAAAAGAGAGATCTAAAGAAATACTTAAATGTTTTGAGACAGTTTAAGCTATTAAAAATTACGTAGAGCCATTTGTATGTTCTCTTAAACAGGATAAAAGTAGTATTGCTGGCTAAGTTCCTTTCGTAGCATTTCATATCTCTTTATATATTCTAAGAATGTTTGCTGATTTTTTTTAAATGTTTTTTTTTAAGCTCAGATTTTTTTGTGTAAAAAGAAAAATAGTATTAATGAATTGGTGCATGCAGAAAGCCATACCGCGTGATTTCATTTGAACAATCTTACTGTTTTCGTATTTTAGATACTCTTGCTATTTCAAGTAATATTTAACAAGAAATACTTTTTTTTTTTCCAAAGTATTGTGCTCTTTGCAAGTACAGCGGTATCATGACCTGTTTCTCATTTAGTCTAGTTTGCCACATTTAATTGCTATTAACCTTTGCAGAAACTGATCAGTGTTCAGACAGGCATGATTTTAGCCCTAGTGCTCAGCACCTATAATGGAGAAAAATGTATTTCTTCCTCCTGCCTTTTGCCCCCTATGTCCATTACTGTGAATAATTAGGGAAACTGTCAGAACTTTTGCAACCTATTTAAGGTCTGGAATATGAGCTTGGTGCTGTTGCCCACCTTTACTTCACATTTTGCATATTTAATCTGATCATTCTTGGCACGGACATTACACATGACAAGCTCTTCACCACTTTAGTCATCTGCTGCAGTTTAATTAGCAGAGTGTTCTTTCTGATCTATGTGCTTTCCCCTTTTGCAAACCCAAGAGAAACAGTGCTAGAGTCTTGTGCTCGTTTGCTGACACAGCTTAGATTTTGTAATGAGATGGAAGGAACCTAATAGTCTCATAGGAACCAGGTTTTGGTAAGCGGAGTTCTGTTTCAAGAAGGTAGTTCTTGTCTTCATAACACATACTGTTTTAATATATAATAAGAAATTATCTTAATGTTCTGTGGAAGTCAAGTAAGAATAACTAGTTTTCAAACAAAAGAAGGGGGAGCGTGTGTGTGTGTGTGTGAGAGAGAGAGATAATTCTCTCTATATAGAAATACGTTGCAAAACTTTCCGGGGAGACTTTAAGAAATAAATGAAACAGTACTAATATAAGATTTAACAAGGTTCAATGACATGGGAAGATTTCCACATAGGTAGTGGGGTAGCATAAAACCCTCTTTGCCACAACTTGAGCTGCAGACAGGAGGATTCATCCATCTACTCATTCATTCATTCAATTTATAGTCCAAAAAAAAAAAAAAAAAAAAAAAAAAGCCCAGGAAACAGTATGATGCAATCCCATAAGATGATTTGAAACCCCCCCCAAGGCAAATTGTAGGTTTCATTTTGTAAAGATAGTAGAAGAGAGTGGGTATTATGGAATTTTGTTTGATTGCAAGAAGTCACACCACCACGTTATGAACTTCTGTCTGGGTCCTCCAATCCTACTACAAAACTCCTTGAGAGAAGAAAGCAAAAAGGTTAGGAAGGGATTGAAGTACTTTAATATTAAATGATGAATGTCCATTTTGGCAATACTCCAGGTAAGGTATGCATAGACTTATAGACAAGTATAGGATCTAAGTTCATGGTCAAAGATAACAGATTTTTGTGACATGAGTTCAAAGTTAATATTTACCCTTCCACCCCTAGAAGAGGTGGAATAAGTGACCAAAATAATTGAAATACCACACATCCTGCAAATGTGACTCCAGTAAGGTTTTTTTTAAAATTCAAGGTGTATATACTAGAGAGGTACACCAATAGATCAGTCCGATATCGGATAGGCACTGATATAAAGAAAATTGACTATATCAGAAATTGGCCTGATATAGCTGATAATTTTGCTGATAAATGCCTGTGCGTGCAGCCGCAGTACAGCATGCAGGCAATGAGGAGCAGAGCCTGGCAGCATGCAGCTAGTAAGTCTGTTGTGGTGGAAGGGTCTTGCAAGGCCTGATCAATGCCCCCCACAGTGAGAGAGGGAGTGGGGCTGGGGTAGGTGCTGCCCAGCTGGGTCATGGTGGATTTAGGACAGAGCCCTGGCTTGTCCAGGTGGCGTGGGGAGGGGGTGGGAAGCAGCTCCTGCCGCTTATTCGGTGGCTTATCCAGCAGCTATTGCCACTGCTCCTGCCGCTCGTCCGGGAGTGCATGCTGCGGAGGGAGGGGGCGTGTGCCTCTGGATCTGGGTGGGCTGCAGCTGGGGTCGGGGGCTGTCCTGTGCTGTTCTCGGGGCAGGTAGCGGCAGTGCTGGGAGGGGGCTACGGCGAAATTTGGGGTGGTGTAACCCCCCCCTGAAGCCCCCTTCCCGGTGCCACTGCCGCCCACCCTGAGTGCAGTGCTGCAGCCTGCCCAGCACAGATCCATTCCCCCTCTCTTCCCCTCCCCACCCCCGGCAACCCCCAGACGAGCCGCGGCTCCGTCCCATGCTCACCCTGCTCTGGCTGGGCAGCACTTACCCCAGTCCCACTCTCCCTCACTGCAGGGACCTTGATCTCCTCCCCCCTCCCCTTTTACCACAACAGACTTACCATCTGCACGCAGCCGCATTGGAAATCTGATTGGTATTGGCCGATATGCCTCCTTAAAAATTGGCTATTGGTATCTGCCCCCAAAATGTTTATTGGTGCACCCCTAGTATATACGTGTTCCTTTTATACATCACACACAACATTAGCAGATTACTAAGATCGCAAAGTCAGGTCTTCACAAGTTAAAAAATATCACATTTGAGGCTGTGTGAGAAACTTGTTCAGCCTACTTGTTGCATGTGCATTATGATACAGTCTTTAATTACTGTATACAAGATGAATTTCTTTTCCCCCAAATTGGCATGGAGCAGGGGAAAGCCCCTTGTCTTATACTCGCATACAAGGAAATCTCACTAAATACATTTTCATATAATTAAACTGGTGCCAAAAGTAGCATATGCTCAGCAAAGGAAACCAACTGTGAAGTTAATTAAATGCAGCCAACACTGAGCATGACAATAAAACACATGGACCACATAGGGCAAACAAGCTGATGGGAACCTACCACAAGGTGTGTTGTTTTTTTTTTTTTTGTTTGTTTTTTTTGTTTTTTTCCCTATGTTTTTAGGGTGAGTGGTTTTGTTTGTTTGTTTGTTTTTTTTGTTTTTTTTTTTTTTTTAAGGAAAATTTTTCATGTTCCAAGTCAAGTCAGCCAAATCTCTTCCAAATCCATGAGTCATTCAAGAACCAAATCTGGCTCTACTACCGGCAAACATCTTCCACCTCTGCCTGGGGGTTCAGGTGCTTCCAAATCCTTTGGCAGGCATCCTACGTGCAGGCCCAAGCCCGGAAGCATGGCATTCGGATGCCTCTGAGTTTGGCTTGTCTTTGGCCATATGGAGCAAGCTAGGGAGGGGCCCCCATTTCTGTAAAGTAGGCATGTAGCAAAGATCCTCCCACTGGAAGCTGGCCAGCAGGAAGCTAACTATGAAGCTCTCATAGGGAGTCCAGTCTACAAGCAGACAAGAGTGCAGCCCTCCACTACACAGTGCCATTTTAATTGCATTACCTCGGTCAGAGTATTTCCCTTGCCAGGTAATAGAAACCTACAATTACTGCAGCCTATTGTATCTGAATAAGATATATGGTAGTGCCCATTGAGTGCAGTCTACCTCAGCACTGACTCTTTCAGGTCATGGTAAGCCATGCATTTTTACTTCCTCTTTACTCCCACAGCTGAGCTGCACCTCT